ATTCATACGATACTTAAATTCTTAATATATCTTTGGTCATTATTAAGAAATATTTTGGATTTTATTTTACTAAATCTTAATCAGATCATATTTTATCAAATCTATGCGCACATATATACACATACATACAAATTCTGAACCATACATACTTTGTCTTACAATTTAAAATATGAGGCTTGTCCTTTTTGGCTAAACTTCTTGCATGATTCATCTTTTCTTTTTTTCTTTCTGTGTTGAAGAGAAAAAAGGAAGATGAACTGTGCAAGAAGTTCAGCTAAAAAGAACAAATCTATGGTAAACTCAAAGGAACAGCATAAATATCATTTGTTTTCATAACATAAAGAAAATAAAAAAATATCTTGTCGACATATACTATTATATAGTATTCTTACAAAGAGATCATAGCATTCATATTAATGAATTCTATGAATTAGACAAATTATGAAATAAATCACGGAATGTTTGCTTGCTAAAGTAAAAGTTACATAAATCTATATATCATTTACATAATTTGAACATAAGTCAATTCGTTGTTTTAAGTCCCGATAAGTAACGATTAAAACCTAAAACAAATGAAAACATTAAATTAAATTAATCAAATATTCTATATTTTCATATATTTCGCAAGTAATATTTGTTTTTCGTAGTTAATATTTTTAATATTCAAATTATTAAATATATCCAGTATTATATTTGCTCACTAAACGGCTAAACAACGATTAAATATGATTCGTTAGATCCAAAAGCAAGAACCAATCACATACAATTCAATCAATTATTTACATAAAATTTTATTAAAATTCTTGAAAAATTCGAATGTTCTAAGATTTCATATTGATAATACTTACCCATAAAGTAGGCAAAATCGAACCTTCTCGAAATTCATTCTTTTTGAAAGCATTATCTATTTCTTCGCGCGAAACTATCCTTAACTTATGCAGTAACGCTAATGTAGTTTGTAACGAAATCAAATTAATGGAGATAATACGCTTCTTAGAATCTCGGGGAACATTTAGAGGATATCTGAAAAGATATATTCCCCATTACAAAAAATATTATCTTATAGAAATTATATATAATTGTAACATGTAATCAGATATTGTGTAACTGTACCTATCAAGTTGTAAAAATTGTAATGGGTATTCAGATCTTTGAATCTCTTTAAAAACAGTGTTTATATTCATCATTTCTAACATAGCCAATAAGTGAGAGTAAAATTTGAAATTCGTAAAGACTTCTATGAACTCGTTTGTCAATATCCAGCCTTCCTGTTCAATGTTAAATATAAATGACACGCCTTTAACTGTATCTGTGAAGAAATTAGTAGTAATTAGTTCCATGTGTGCAATTTCAATTAATTGAATGTTTATTACAATAACATACCAATCTTTTGAAATATGAAAGTACTGGTGTCGTAATTCATATTCTTGTATTCAACATATCTATTTTCGATGTTGTACCAGGAATTCGCATGAGCATTCATTGTTTTTTTTTATCGTGATTATCTTCAAATTTTGAGACATAATTTGAATCGATTGTTCTATTCGTCTCTTGAGGTACAGATTTCCTGTCGTTTTTACGATTCCAAGTTTGATTAGCTAAAGCAATTGGTGTAGTATATATAGAATTTTCATTGGGATTCGATAAAGAAACATTGTTCTGTAAGCCTGAATTGACCCAACATTCCGAGATTTCGACTTGCAAGCCTTGTAACAACGTAGGTTGCAAATTGTTTGTATTACTATTTTGCTGATAATTTAATTCGCCGTTTATTGTCGGCTGTGAATCTTGCACGTAATAGGTCGATGATTGAGTGGCATAATTCTCAATTTGTGAGTTATCTCGCGTTAACTTGTGATTTATCATTCCTTCATGTTGCATGTGCGAACCAGTAATATCATTTGCGGGCTGCGAGAACGATTCCTTAATACATTCTCTCTTAGGGACATTCTTAGTGTTATCGGAATCAGTGCTACACGTACTTTGCTTTATATCTGCGTCAGCTTGCTTCTTTTGCGTATTATACATTACCGGATCGGATTCATAAATAATTCTTGGGGTGTAAGTTTCACTGCTATTGACATTGATATGTTCCGCAGGTGGAAAACAATTAGTTCTCGGATAAATATTCGCGGCTTCCGTCTTCGCAACATGCCCTTGCGGATTTCTAGCAGATAGATTCGATGCGATGTTCGTATCGTGAGCAATTTGCTCATTTTGTGATTCCGATGTCTGTATTCCATCAAATGAGGACTTAAAGGGATTTGTATTTTTAAACATATTGCTAAATTGGGTGTTCACGTTTTCCAGGATTTCTGAGAAATTATTGGGAATATTAGTGCTCGTTGGAACCGCTGGAGATACCGATTTCATCGAGAGTACATTTTCGCCGGGCTGATTGACGTTTGGAAGAAAGGTATTGGCTGACGGTATATGATTAGTGTACATCGAAGATAATAGAGTTTCAGTTGCTAAGGAAGGCATTTGTACATGCGAATTATGCTCGTTGTGTTGGCTCCAGTTAGTTTTAAAAGCGAAATCATCCAAGCCGCAGGTGGAAAACGTGGCATGATTCTGCAGTTTATCACTACCGTTCATAGATCCAAACGGATTCGACGTAAGAAAAGTGTTTGTGATATTTTGATTCGCAGTTTCATTGTTTAAATTAAACAATGCCTTCTGCGCCATACTAATATCATTCAATGGCATTTCATTCGCGACATTCGCGGACGTCGAAGGCGTTTTCACGATATTAGAACGATCATTGTCTTGTGAAACTTCTATCATTTTCTCGAAAACTTTCAACACCTTATTTAACTGAAATTGGATCGTTATATGATCATTGAATAAACTCTTAGTGAGAGGCATACGCGACAAATTATAGAATACGTCGACCAGTTTAATCTGCAATTTCATATTCTCATTCCAAACTGATATAAATATCTGTTTGGCGATATCGTTAGGAATAAATTGTTGATCTGTCAAGAATGGATTTGTCGCTTCCACAGTCGATGTCTTCATATTTGACACGTTTGCAAAAGAATTGTCCTTGTGGAAGCTCCTTGTTGATACGTTAGGTGGATATACTCTCGGCACACTCTCGGCGCGCTGTTCGCCGAGAGGTGCAAAACCTGGCGGTGGCTTCACTGACTGCTGCTGGCGACTATCGCAATATACATGAGTCGTCGATCCGGGCGATGTGAAAGGAACTTCGTGCGTTTCTGCTGTCGATGTTGCTTTGCAGCAGTTGTCGGGCATCAGGTTCTCCTCCGCAAAGCAATACGTCGGTAATTGATTGAAATTGTTTACCACATACTTCATTATGCTCGCCATGTCAACGGCATCAGCCTGAGTTACGAAAGCAAAAGGGGGAAAAAATCAGATAAAGTGATACATATGAAATTTTGATTTTTAAAAACTGACAATGGATGTTCAAATGTCAATCGATTTCTGAAATAATGTTTGATAAGAAAGAAGAGAATTCGGGAAAAATTATAACTTTATGAGATTGTAGCGTTTTTATGTTGATTAATATAATAATTATACACACACATACGCGCGCGCGCGCGCGCGCACACACACACACACACACACACACACATTCCAATTTCTTCATCATAACGATAATTTAGAACAATATTCGTAATAAGCACCACAGTAAATAAGCACCACATATATAACATAAAGATTCAAATTTTTCCCAGAACTAAAATTAAATTGATATCTTATGAACATGTTACATGATTATAGAGAAAAAATATATTGGTTGCAATTTGAGAGACGAGAAAATATCATTATAATTATTATAATTTCAATGTTATGATTTCAAAGAAGAACTCAAAAATGTAATGGCTATTATTATTTATTGTATAATTACATTATAACAATTATACAATTATATATATATATATAATTATTGTTTAATAATAATTCTATTATAATATGAAGTCGCACAAACACATTCTTTTTAAGTAAAGAAAGAGATTTTATCGTTATTTACAATCTATCACGCAAAACTTCTTCTTGTAACGTAGCTTTAAATTTTCGAATTTGTCAAAATTTATTCAAAGTTATCCAAAATTTCACTTATAAATTTCACATTTGTAATGTCTGCGCGGTGTTACGAGCGTTGTAAAAAGAATTAAATAGTTGAATGTCTTTTTCAGATGCATAACTATCCCACCTGCTGTAATTAAACTCTGTGCTATCATCAGAGTCTATGTCACAATTATCAAGCTTTATATTATCATCAGAATCTATGTCACAGTCATTGTAAACCGGTGAATATATTACTTCAGTCATGTTTGTGTCATTCGTCGATTCATTTGTTTCAAATAGACAATCAGATTTAATCAATTTAACCGATTTTTTGTCCCCTTTACTTTTTGTCATTTTTTTATATTCTTTTCGGTAAAACTCAAATCATCACTATCCATCGAACTAACCGATCTGTCGTTCTTACTTTCGTCACTTTTGCCATTTTTGACGCTCTCTTGATTACAACTCCAATCATCACTATCCATCGAATTAATCAATCTGTCATCTTCCTTATTTTCGTTACTTTTATTAATTTGGATACTCTCTTGATTATAATTCAGATCGTTGTTCAGATCTACTGATTTAATTGATTTGTTGTCCCTCTTATTTTCGTCACTTTTGTCATTTTTTATGCTCTCTTGGTTAAAACTCAGATTATCATTATTCATCGATTTAACTAATTTGTCATCTTCTTTACTTTCGTCACTCGAATTAAATTCGTCACTTTTATCATTTTCGATGTTTTCTAAATTAAAACTTAAATCATCGTTATCCATCGATTTAATTGAATTGTCGTCTCTCTTATTTTCATTACTTCTGTCATCTTTGCTCTCTTGGTTAGAACTTAGATTATAGCTATCTACTGATTTAACTGATTTGTCGTCTCTATTACTTTCATCACTTGTATTATTTTTAATACTCTCTTGATAAGAACTCAGATCATCGGAATCCAATTCAGTATTATTTGCTATATTTTGTACAATTTTCATCATCTTTTGTACTATTTCTGAAACGCTTAATGTCTGATCTGTGTCATTCAGTTTCGAATCATCTATATTAATCGTATGATTACAGGGCAACATGGTAGAATCAATTTCTACAGGCTGACTCAATGACTGATGTTCCTTTCTATCATCACTGTCAGAAGAAGGAACAGGGTAAGTTTTCGAGGACTGATTCGACCGACACTTTATGTTATCATTGTTAAAAAAAGCGACGGAATTCATTTCTGAAGACGAAAGAGTTTGTCTATTGAAATCACTGTGTGATTCATTTAACGGTACACTTTTAAGCAATGCCTTGGACATTGACTCAAGTTCCTTAATTAATTTATGTAAGTTAATGCGGGTATCTATGTTTAATGCTTTAGATTGTTGGCTGCTTGATGAAGTGGTGGTATTGCTGCAATTATGGAACGATGATTGAATTTGTACATTGTTGGGAGATTCTCTCTTGTTTAAATTATTTGTTGTATCCATTCGTCTTTGTTTTATTTTATCCAGTAGAGTATTATAACTAGGATGTATTTTATTATTTGCATTAAATCCAAGAGCATTATTTGTATTACGTTCCGACATTTCTCCATTTATGTTATTTTTATCATTAGGCATATCAGAAGAAACTAACTCTAATCCATTTGTATTGGAACCTATACTAAAATCTGTATTAGAATTTGCATCAGAATCTACATTAGAATTTGTATTGGAATCTGCATTAAAATTCATATTGAAATTTCCATTTTCTATTTGTTGATGAGTTTTTGTTTCACAAACTTTATTTCCGTCTATTTTCTGATCTATTCCCTTGGAAGAAGTTAGGTTATTGAGTTCAACAATATTCGCGCTGGAATTCAACGCGTCATTAGACTGAATATTATTACACATCTTCAACTTTTTGATTATGTTCGATGTAAACATTATTGTGAAAGTATCATTGGGTACTATTTGATTTTTCAACGTTTCCATAACCTCAGTCATTTTTCCAGCATCATCTTTGATATTATTCTCAGGTAAAAAATGTTCCATCTCCATACGAGTCATATGCAGGAAAAATTCTTTACCAGGTATCTCATCCTTCTGATTACACAATTCTGACTTATCTTCTATTACATCGTTCTTATCTCTTTTAATTGACGCATCTACGTTATTAGGCAATGCAGATTTTTTGTGAGGAAGATGCTCATTTTTTATTATCGACCAATCAAAAGGCTCCATCAAACCACGTCCGCCATATAAACTTCTAAACGTTCCAAAATCATTTTCATCATTTTCGTCATCGGAATCTCTCGTACGAAAGTTCATGTATCCATAACAATTGTAGTCTTTGTTGTAATCATTATTATCCTGTGACTCTATCTTCCTGTTTGAATCAGTTTGTTTTATGTCATCTTCGTTATTTCTATCTTTTTTGAATATTAGATTAGAATTAGCGCTTGGATTAGAATTGGATTTTTGATGGAAACTTAATGTTTGTAATTTTTCTAACGAAATTGATTCTTTAGGTGTCTCTGATTTTTCATTTTGCGATTGGTTATTTGAATATAATTTAGCATCCGATAATTTAACATTAAGAGTAGCGGAAGATTTGATACATGAAGATTCAGCATTCGATGATTTACTTCGTAACATCTGCAAGAGCGCTCTTTTCTTGGCTGGGACGTTATGTAAGGATTTGACAGTTTTTTTCGTATCTTCGGTTTTTACACCGGATAATCTATGCATTTTTTCATCATACGATTGATCTATACAGGGTCGCGGTTCATTTTCATCGCACGTGATTTCCGCATAGAGTGTCTCACAAAATTTAGAGTGATCAGTAACATTATCGGATGTCAAGTAATATATCAAGTCATACATACGCACCATTTTACCAACTTGCGCTAGTCTCTCATTCACTAACCATTGGTTTATTTCTACATCCTCATCTTCGCTTGTATCGGTTAGAATGATCATCATGGAATTATACTGTCGAAATAAACAATCAGATAAATAACTTTTACAATTTTATACTGTTAATAAGTTAAATAATTAATATAGACTTATAATATTATAGACTTAAAAGTAAAATGCTAGTAATTTTTTCAATTTCTTCATGTACAAACTTAAAATAAAAAATTATAAACACAACAAAACATAATATCAATTATCATAAAACAAGTAATTTACAATAAAGAATGGAAACATTTTGATGTTTTAACTTTCAAAAATAAAAAAATAATCTCACCGTAGGATCAACAGAAATTATAGTTGCAGCTAGAAGTGTATCATTGACTTTGTCAATGAATTGCTCAATTACGCTCCTCTTCCAACGATCACCAATACATGGTTTAACATTATATAAGCCGCAAGGTATTGCTTGGGCAGGTAAGTAGGAAAATCTTTTGTGCAAATAATATATTTCTTCTGGCGCATATGTCTTCAAAGTACCATAATCGTAGAAAAATATCTGTTTTGAAAAATATTTAATTATTTCATATTACATAATAACGTAATTATTTCAACTATTAATTATTTCAATTATTTCAATTATTAATAATGTATTAAAAATTAATAAAATTAATGTCTTATCGTAAATTCATTGTTTTATTACTCAATATTTTATTGTAGTTCATAAATTTGTACTAACCGTTACTTTGAAATCTGCTTTCACATTTTTAATGACTCCTCGATGCCATTTATTCGAATATAGGCATGCACAATTCAAACCTTTTTTCAAGGCAATCTTTGCAATGGTATACGTATCTTTATTATGGTCATAGAATTCGCTGAAAACAAACAACTTCGACTCAAATTTTATGATCATTATTAAGATTTCTGCTAGTTTAATCTGGATTGTTGACATCAAAAGTAAAAGATTATCGCACAGTATATTAAGATAAAAATATTTTTCAATAAAACAATTACAAACTTATAATTAATAAAAAAAGGATTATAAAATCTAAAAATCTCATCTTTTACTTTAATTAATAAATAATTATATATTTAAAATTAAATTGTGCCTAATCAAAAGCGCTAGACATGATTACTTATTAATTATTAACTTAATTATTAACATATTAATTATTATAAACAAGAACATATTTAACAAGAATATATTTTACAAATATGTTCATTGCAAATATTTAAGTACTTTGCCAAAATTTCTATTACGAGTTTTCTTGCTTCTAATATCATTAATCCAAGTGATCGTGATGATTCAGTAGAATCCTCCTTATTAAGATATTTTGCATAAAAGCTTACCATAGCTCAATCATCAATCTATCAAAACGTTTTTTGTTTTCTCGAAGATGAATCCAGAAAAAGCACGGGTGGAACACTTCACTAATGTATATCTCTAAATAGGTTTTGCTATTTTGTAACTCAGTCACCGATATTTTTCCTACATCATCGTCGTAATTCATTACATCATTAGGCGCGAATCTTTTGGTAATAGTAGACGACTGCAAAATTTAAGAAAAAAAGATAAAATATAAAATAATCATAATCATTAAATTATTATATTGCATCTTAAATATTCTATAAATTAATGAGTCCATTATAACAGAAAAATGTAAACAGAAAAATGAGTAATAAGAGAAATAATTATTAAAACAATTAGATAAAGAAAATATTGTAAAGAAAAGATATAAAAATTTATTCTTTACTTATTCTTACATCTTAATATAAAAACTATCGTTCGTTTTCGTAAATTTTTCTTTGTACTTAAGTATATAACACACAAGATTTCTTTCCATTTATGATTGAAATTAAGGTTAAGTTTACCTCGAAATTTTTATAAATTTTGAAAATATTCATTAATATGTTTAGCACTATTAGATACATTTAATATAACAGAGAAAATAGTGTGTGTGTGTGTGTGTGTGTGTGTGTGTGGGTGGGTGTGGGGGGGGGGTATGCACGCGTGTGTGTAATGTATATTAATATGTGTGTAATGTATATTGTGCCGGTAAGTTTTATAGTTCATTTCAAATAAAAAGTAGCAATAAAACGCCAGAGAATAATTTATTACGTACAACATCTGACGGGATCGGTGCCTTGTCGTCATCATTAACGTATTGCATTGTACTATGCTCATCATATTTCTTATTCGAAGCTTGTAAAATTTCAGTAGGCTCCATCTGTGATATTCGTGGCTCCATCAGTTTCTTATCTGCACTATATAATATAAAGTCAGCCGTTTTGTCGCCCTGTGCCATGTAGAAAATTTGCGGTAGATGAGATGTAAACTCGCGCACACTGGCAAAACCCAATCCGGTGTAATTCAGGCGCACCTTGTATTCCTGAAGATATAAGTCAGGTAGCTCAGCACACCAGATACCCTTTGGATGTTTGTCCAATAGTTGCTTCAATCGAAGTTTTGTTCTGTCACTTATTATTTGGGATAAGTGTTCAGTAGTATTAATTTTATTAATATTCATTGCGTTGTCTTTGCTATTCATTAAAGCAAAGTATTCGTCTACATTAATTTCCATGTTATCATTATTGTTATTGTCATTGGTCTTATTGGTGAGTGTATTGGTTTGTTCGTGCTTCGAATATTGCGCAAGATTCGCTGCAAGTTGTTCACTCGTCGTTGGACGCCTTTGGCAATTGCTGGTATTGTTTATACAATTAGCTGGTATAAAATCGCCCTCATCACTAAAATCTTCTATCCAATCGGAATCCTCTTGTCCGGCAGCATATGTATGTATCGAAGACGATCTTGATTCACTTTGTGTCCTTGATTGGTTCCGTGGCTCTGACATGGAAGATTGTTGCATCGAAGGTTGTCGATGGGCTGTATTATGAGTTGTATTTGGTAAAATATCATTATTCCACACCGGATAGATCATGTTACTATCTAAGTACAATAAATGTGATACTTCGCGCAGTTGTTCCCGTAATTCGAATGGAGAAATGTTGATGTGTGGCACTAGTCCACATACATAATTCAGAGCATCCTGCATGCTTACACCATTGGGATTGCTTCTGACATGCTGTATAAGATTAAACAGCTTGTCGGCTCCAATTTTGATTCGCTGAGACCTCATGTGTGGAGGGCGACGTAGGAATCTCGATTTCGTATTGTTCTTTTGGCGGGCTACCAGCGAGCTCACGTGCTTACTTTTGTCCGATGCAATAGGGCGTACATAATGAAGACCATTATTCTGCTCAATAATGAAGTACTCTGGCATACTTTGAAGAAAGCTTAAGAGATCGGGGAAACCGAATTGACGATATGGTATACGTGTCTGTTCCTCCTTATAATAGTCCCTCTCAAGGAGGGTTATAGGTGTGAGCTCTTGTCGGGCGACCAGCAATGACAGAAGAATTTTGCGAAGTTCGTCAAGTTTTTCCTGATTTCTCGACATCTTGAAATCTTTTTTCAGTCCTTTATGTAAAAGAAAATTTTATTATCATTTATAATCAAGAATTAACACACAAACACGAAACTTGAAAAAAAAAAGATATTACATTTGATAAATTTTTAAATTTGGAGATCCAGAAAGAACATTAGTATATTATTATTTAGAAAAAAAATTATAAAAATTATAAAAAACAGCAAATATTGTTTCTTAGCTGAATGATTCTGTGAAATTATTTACATAATAGTAAATTATTTTATGATCTACCTACATATCATAGCAAGTAACTAGTCTTTAAGCTTAAGGCTCGGCTCTCTTGCTGCAGCCATATTAAATTATGACATCAGAAGCGAGAAATGACATGCAAAAAATTTTTTCCGTTGTATTTATTTTGTACTTTTCTCCTAAAAACATATTTTCATATTCTTAAAACTTACCTAAAAAATACCAAAAAGATATCTGTTCAATAAATCATGTAAAAATGTAATGTAATGTTTGAAATAATGTACATTACTCAGCTCAGAAATCAGTAGATCACTAGATTTAGTTCTGATAGCTGACAGATATTTTACTTTCTGGTATTTTGTAGAAGTTTTAAGAATATGAAAATATTATGTTTTTAAGCGAAAAGTACAAAATAAAGCTATATAACGCAAGAAATTGAGAATTGTTTACACGTCATTTCTTGCTTCTGACGTCACACAACCCATGTCGCACCACAGGAGAATCGAATTTTAACAAACTTGTTGTTGCAAACAACTTACTATTATGTATCCAACTTAATACTCTAGGAATAATATGATATCCAATCTAATCTAATTTAATCTTACATTAAAAAATTGTCTCAAACCTGGCGTTAGTCTTAAACAACAAAATAAACAATTCAATTACTTGTACTAGATCAATGTATACTAAAGTTGTTTTGTATAAACTATCCAATTACAATGTTATAACATAAACACTTTGATAATGAACGAATAGATAATGTATATTTTGCTGAATAATATGACATCATTATTGCATATCTTATCATTTAAAATATTTATGCATTTGCATTTAAATAATTGCTTCTAGTGTAGCACTATCCACTAATCAAATTTTATATTAGATTTTAATACTCAATACTTTGTTATTAGATTTTGAATAATCCATGTTAAATTCATATTAAAATTTCAAAATAATATCATTATATACTTTAAATATAACTTTGTATGTATTACAAAAAAATAATTGAAGAATTTATTATATATTTATGACACGTTGTATGATTAGGGTTGCCATATCAAAGTTTTCAAAACTAGAATTTATAGATCAGAAATTTTGGACATTTAGTTTGTAATCTTGAAAATATATCATCAGAAGCCATGTTAAACAATCCCCTCAATCGAGTAAGAAATGTAAAAAAAGAAAAGAGATAAACTAACTTTTCTACATACTTTCTTCTGACCCTTTTTTTAATAAAAGGAGGCTTTATATTTTGAGAGAAAGCAATAAGTGGAGGCTTTATATTTTGAGAGAAAGCAATAAGTGGACGCTTTCAAAAATTTTTGCTGAATGTCCTAAGAAAAAATGGAGTTTAGGCAAAAGTAAATGACAGGTTATGTATGGCATGTGTTAGACATGTGCATATTGAAATTACGTATGGCACGTATTATAACATATGCATATGAAAATTTTATATATATATATATATATATAAGAATTAAACAAGAAATATATTAAATGTCATTAAAAATCTGATGTTCATAAAAAATGTTTTAGCATAAACAGATAGATGTAAATATAAATATTTATATATGTAATAATGAAATTAAAATAATGTTAAATTATAATTACATTATTAAAATATTTTTCATGTAAAATAAAATCTAGAAAGACTTAAAGATTATATAAATTCAGAACACTCATTTGAAGAAATTCTGTGAATGGGATGATGGGATTAACAATTAAAAAAAAAAACAGAAAGATAATTAATTTCAAAGAGTAGAAGTGTATTAAAGATTAAAAAAAACCTTCATTGAAGAAAATAACAAAAGCTCAAGAAAATATTTTCTCGTATCTTTTTCAACAGTATGAAAAAATATCTCAAGAATACAAAGCACTGTACAAAGAGATACAGAGTTAGATTCAGCATCACCATAGCTCGCACGCAGAAATGAAAAATCAGGTACATTTTTTATAATTGTTTTAGGCATTTTAAAATAAACACCAAACCTCGAGAATCAGACATGGATTAGATGCAAATTCAGTAATATTATGCACAAAAAAGAAATAGGTTAGAAACCGTTTTAAACCGGAGAGATAAGTCGGATATGTATTTCTGGAAATAAAGAACTCTCGATTTTCAATGTAGAGAAAAAATGTTTGTTATTTTCTCTGAGGTTTAATTTATTTTATCCTACCTGACAAATCTCACTCTTGTGAAAATCCTGAGAACAATTCCTCACTGGTTGAACGTGCAGCGTGGAACATAACATTCGCTATGGCGTACGCTTATTTGAAAAATGAAGTGGCGCTCAGCCTAAATTTTAACTAAGTTCATTTTTTCTTCAAGAGAAATACGTTCCCATCTCACCGAAAATGAGAGAGAGAGAGAGAAATAAAATAGAATTGCACGTAAAAGTACGAAATCTTGTTTTAAATTGACTCTAAAAAAAGCAAAAAGCTAGTGTTATTAGATGAGGAAGTTTGCGCATGCGCATTGTAATGCCAAAGAAATCCAAGTTGTGTTCTGGAAGTCGATCATATAACTTTTCCCCTAGGGCGGAAACGTGAAAAGTGAAAAGTTTCACGTGAACTTTTTCGCCATGTACCTTGGTGACGGAAAGGCGAAAATCTAGGGAATTAATAAATATGCTTCGGAATTAGAAAAGATTAGGGCTACGTTAGGATTAAGTGTACGTAGTACATATACAATTGATTATTAAAAGATGTATATAATACTGTACCAATAAAATAATTTTCATTAGCTATAAAACTTATGAAACTATGTTTCATGATTTTACTTTCTACGCATCCAAGCTACATACATAATCGCTTCACGTGAAAAGTTTCACGTGAAATGTCAAGGTGTGAAAAATGAAAAGTAAAAAGTGAAAAATGAAAAGTGAAAAATTTCACGTAAAGTTATATGATTGACCCCCTTAAATACGCTACCAACACTGAAAAATCCATAGCATACGTCATGTAAATTATAAATTTTTAGTCTGACTGTCAGTGTATATCGGAACACCATTCCAGTGGGGTATATAAAGCTCGATTGCACCAATATTATTTTGAATTTTAAGTGGTATTTAATATATAATATGTGTCACGTATATTAAATCTCGCTTAAAGCCCAAATAATATTGGTGCAACTGGGCTTAAGCCGCTACACTGTTAGAAATCGGTTTGAAAACTCGGATGGAAAAAAATTGACCAATAATATTGATCAAATAGTTGAATTGTTCAGATGCAATTCTTCTTTCAGATCAATTCTTTGTTCGTCCGAGATTTTGGATCAATTTCTAGCATCGTGAACAAAAAGCTTTAAGATTCAATTTCATGCAGCGAAGCAAAGATAGCTTTTACCCCTACTCCACCTGCATGCAAAGCAGCATTGAAAAGCTATCGCCTTCTTCCTTTTCATGGAACGAAAAAAAGCTAACTTTTACCTCCTCTCCATCAATTTTTCGATAAACAGCGAACTAGCAAAGGCACACTGAAAATTCGACATTTTCCAACTCGCTTGTTTTTAGAGTCAAAATAAGTCACATCAAAAGTAACCATTCAAGTTTCATCAGTTCTGATCTACAATATAGTGATTTAAGCTTAAGTAATAAGAAATTGACCAATCATAATTGATTATTCTCCTATTCTTTGACTATGATTCATCCATTTCTTATGGCTTAAGGCTTAAATTATCTATTGTAGACCGGGACTTATTCCACGTTAACTTTGACGTGACTTAAAGTGCACAAATAGACCTGTTTTTTTCTTTTTTGGCTAAACTGGTTGTACTAGTTCACCGTTTATCTTTCTTTCTTACACTGGAAGAAGAAAGATAAACTCTGAAAGAAGTTAACCTAACCTCTGAACTGGTGCAGACAGTTCAATTAAAAAGAACAGACCCAATATTTCGAAATATTTTTTTGATTGATGAGTTCATAAACTCTTTTAAGAACCAAAAGAAAACTCGTTCATTCTGTTCGTTCTTTTGCTGAGGGTTTTGCCAATAATTGAGAATTGTCAATATAATAATTATTAAGTATTAATATAAAGATATGATTATCTTATATTATATAATTAATAATTGTAAAACATTTTAATAATAAATTATTTAATTTATGATTATATATAGTTATGATATAAATACATAAATAAGTTTGCATACTTATACTCTTATAATATCGTATGTATTGTTGCAAAATTATATATTTTTTATATAGTTATCATTTTTATGGATAATCAAATATAGATATATAATTACAAAAATGCAGTTTTAAATAAAATTAAATATAAGCAAGTTGTAAATATATTTGTCTAACAAATATCAGGATAATAAATTAATAAATTAATGTTACATTATAGGCTAATTGTGCTCAAAATTTTAATAGTTATGCGTGATTATGCGAATTTCCAGCGTCGGTCGGTGATGAAATATATTATAATGGATATGAGGAACAATAATGATGTCAGATAATTTCACGAAATATGATCTATTAAACGATGTCTATGATAAGAATAGTAAGAGTATACAATATAATAATAAGAATATATATAATAGTATAAGAGTAGTCTACAATAAGAATGGTAGCTTTAAACCATAAGAAATTGACATTATCGTTTTTTTAAATTCTCGGATAATATCACAATATAATAAAAAAGTAACTCTTTTAGAACATTATGGAATTTTTAACATCGATCGGTCTATTTCTTTATGGGCAATTTGCTTATTGAACATTCTATATCTAAGAATCAAACGTCAAGGAAAAACTTGAGTAGAGCGGTTCAAGCGGTTTATGCGAGGCTTCATCGTAGATATTTTACAGTTGGGCTTCTTTTGTATTGATTTCACAAACTCTTCAAGTATATGTTTGTATATTGAATATATTTGTTCAATAAAATATTTTTGGATTCAATGGATTCTGTTTTCCGAATTTTCTGGAGTATAATATGGAATAATATAATTGCCTTAATTAATAGAAAAATTTATTTTATATTTCAATACTTGGTTTTTCATTAAATAAATAATTTTATATAGCATAAAATTTAAAAAATTATTTATATAATTGTTATATATAAAAATATATAAACTGTAATTTTTTCATAATAGAATTTCTAAGTTTTCAAATATTTTAGGAGTTTACTTTCACGATTGATGATTTCACTGATTGCAATAATTAAAATATATGTTTAGAAACAGCTTCTAACTTTAGTTACATAAATTTAATAACATAATTTCGAAACTTTTTTTACATAAAGAATTACTTACACAAAATTAAATACATACAATTAATCAAATACATATAAAGTATAAAACAAGCAATTTTATTATAAAATGTGACAATAAATGTTACATGATACAAAGTAAATAATTTCGAGATATAATAAAAGAAAATAGAACTATCTTTATGATATGTTTATATTACATAAACGTTATTTTATAGAAGATTAAATTTATAAATAGTTTTTAACATTATTATTTCTTATTAGATCATTAATATATATAGTTTCTTGCAATTGCGTTTCTTAAATTTCATAATATATTCGTGACAAAGCTCGTATTTGTTTCTTTAATGTTCATCTCACGTCCTCGCAACTTACTTACTTAGCAACTTACTTACGCAACATTCGCAACATTTAATTGGAGGAAACTGTCTTTATCAAGATATATTTCTTATCTACATCAGCTTCGTTACTCCGATCTTTACTGGTCTGAATTTAGAATTCAGATTTTTTATAATCACAAATGAATTACATTTGCTTAAATGTGATGAAAATGATGTATGCTATATTAATTAGATATGACTATATAATATATCACATTAAGATGAAATAATTAAAAGTAAAATCGATAAAAAGAATAGATAAGAAGATATTAAGCAAATATTAGATTTAAAATAATTCAATATTTTGAAAATGTTTGTGAATTTCAAAATTAATGATTCAATGTTTTATACTCGAAATGCTCTTTCGTCTTTCCATTTATATACTTATTTATTTGTATACTTATTTATTTATTTGCATACTTATTTTGCATACTTACTTAGATAAGAGTTTCTGGAAGTTTTGAATTATTAATCTTGTATTAACTAATTACTTTCAGTCTGTTACTTCAGCAGAACACACACACACACACACACACACACACACACACACACATACACACACTACACGTAAATCCAGACATACTGTACTTGTGTAACATATATTACATAATTAAAAATTTTGAAAATATTATAAATAATATAATAATATGTATTCATATTGCCATATGTATTACATATTAGGACTATTCATATTTATTACATTATTTATACAATTAAACAATTATATTTATATAATTGTCATATTTGCAATGAGTATTAATTATTCTTATTGAAGTTAAAAATATCAGAAAATGAGACAAAACGAAAATGAAAATACATAAATCGAAAAAAAGAATACAAAAGTCACAAACTTATATTACTTTAAGTTTTCTTATCTGCTCTGTTATATATCTATTATTACTATTGAAAACAAGAATATCTTTCCATTTGATTATCTTACCTTATCATGTATTGGATTATTGGATTATCATACTTGAATTATTTTCGAAATTGATCGAGCAGATTTTCAGACAGCATCTATATATTTTTTTTTAAGTAAGATAAAATGTATAATTATTTATTTTATATAAAAATTGAATACAACATTTTTTTATATCAGTTGGATATGATTTAGATAGAATGTAGAGATTCTCATGATTTTCTTATATGTATCTGCGTGATACATATGTAATTGATCACCGTAGGTATGTACATGTGATAAATCTAAAAAATATTTACAGCGAGTAATCGATATTCCCCATGCGCCTTATCTCATATTAAGCGCGATCGGAATGCTGCTTTTTCAATCACACGGTCAATATTTACACGTTGGCTGCACGATTGAGACTTCAGAGTAATTGAGTGCGATTGAATAATGCATTAAGATTTTACATAGAAAAGAAAACATAGTAATGAAATAAAAAAAATAGATGAAGAGAAAAATAAAATAGATTTTGATCATATTACTTATTGATAGGAATAATTTATACTGTTAATGAGTGATAATGTATCCTCAGTTAACATTTATATAAAATTTGTATTAATATTACATTGAAAAATAATTACAAAGTAATTAAAAATATTTGAAATATTAATAACTGTTGCTTTATAAATACTGATTTTGCAAAGACGCAATTTTGCAATAAAATTCATATGTTTTTTTCGTTTTTTATACCATCAGATGATGACAGGATGTTTTAAATGTTAATTTTATAGCATGCTATAATTTATTTTATAAGAAAAAAAATATTAATTTTATTTTTACTTCTTTTAAATTCAAATCAAATTCAAATCAATTATAATTAGCATAATCATATACATAAAAACTAAAATTATCTGTATAATTTAACAACATTAAATCGACCAATAATATCAAAATAAAATTTATTCAAATTATCTTTGACGCACTTATAAGAACCTATATATATTAACGATCTAATAAGAAATAATAATGTTACAAACTATTTATAAATTTAATCTTCTATAAAATAACGTTTATGTTCTCTTAAATTTATCTTAATTAATATATTATTTATATCATTATATCAAATTCATATTATATCAAATCTTTGATATAATTTTTATACATATGTCAAAGCAAATCGGATTGAACATAAGTTGAATATTAATAATATCTGATCTGAATAATATTTGATAGTATATCTGATAGTATTTGATGATAGTATATCTGATAGTATTTGATGATAATTGTTAATATCATTAAATTATTAATATCATTATTAATATTATTATTAATATTGTTGATGTCTTTAATTTTCGAGTTGCTGAAGAACGTTATTTTAAAGACGTAAAAATAAAGATATAAAGATAATTTTTATAGATACTTTGATTGTTAGGCTCCGAACTATTTTAAATTACAACATCTTAAATTATAACATTAGAACTAAAACAATAGAAATTCTTACAAAACACATTCAAATAGAAATATTATTTGATAAATTAAAATTTGTAAAAAATATTGAAAACAGACTTGTAAAATATACTGAAAACCGCCATTTTGCTCAGTTGCAAATAACTAGATATGTGTATATTTATAGATATTATTCGTGTCATTATGCATTGTTAAATACCATTTAGCAATGTATAATGGCATTTAACCATGTATAATGACACGGACAATATCCGGACAATATCCACGGACAATATAAATATGTTAACTTTTTTGAAAATAGTAACCGTGGGAGCCTTAAAAACAACTATATATATATATGTATATCTAGAAATAAATTGCGTTTAATTAAGAACAAAGTTACAATTCAATTTTAAATATATGATTATTTCTCAATTACTGAAGCAAAACAAATTTTCGATATATTTTACAAATCTATTTTATTAATTACAAACATGATTCTATTGACAAATATTTCTATTTCAATGTTTTTTACAAGAATTTTCATCACATGTATTCCTCTTTTGAGGAATAATCTTAATTCAAGTTAAACTTTAATGTCTTACATATAACAATTCTCCTTTTATAATATTTAAAAAATCTAATTCTTTCTCCCTAATCTATCAAAAACCAAACATGAGAAAATCCAAATAACATCAGTATTTTGATGTTGTTATTTTGACTCCAAAGATCCCTGACAATATACTTAATAATATAACTTTCTTTTAGAAAAACAAGAATTAAACATTTAAAATAGTTATATTCAGTAGTGTAACGTTTTATTTTCTGAACAAATCATTTCTGAATAAATCGTTTTAATCTCGTCGTCAACAATAAAAATTGATGCTCTCACGACGCTCGTTCGTTCGCTTTGCATCTATTCGTTCAGAGCCGAGGCCGAGCGCGCGCGAGGCCACGCGAGGCCGGGGATCGCGCGCGGATCTAGTAGGGGGTAGAATGTCGAGGGTCTCTCTCTCCCCCTGTTAAATCGCACTGCCGACTGCCGCTCGTCGCCGGACGACAGTATTCGCTTGCGCAGCGGCGTGACACGTTGCGCCAGAAGGAGGGATCCCTCGTCGGTGGCGTCGCGTCGTTCGAAGCCCCCGCCAAGTCTCGGGCGAGGGAGCGGCAGGCCCTGGTCTGGTTCGAAATAAAAAAGTCGCGTGATCGTTCGCGAGAGGAAGAAAGAAGAGGAAGAGGGAGCGGAAGGTTCTCGCGTGTCGAATTCGTCTCGCGTGTTGAATTCGTCTGTCATCCTCCGGCCGCGGAAGATGGCCCCGTCGTGCTTCGAGGTAATCCTCGTCGGCTTCATCCTCGTGCTGCCGTTCCTCTACGAGACCAGCCGCACCTTCCGCTACTACTTCAAGTTCCTCATCTATTACGGCATCGTGATGGTGAACGCGGTCCTGCTCATGCCCATCATCTCGCTGCGGCCCGGCAATGTCAAGAATTTCTTGTTAGTAGCCGAGCGATCGATCGATAATTATTATATTTGTCATATATCGTCCTCTCGTCCTCTCGCTTTTCGTTCCGCTCCGATTCTCGCCCCGTCGAGAGCCAGCAGCCACCACCTTCTCGCGCGTTTTGTTTTCCACGATTAGCTTGACAGGCGTCGCGGCGGAGATCGCCGGGACGGTCACGGGAATTTATTGACCGGCGTTCGTTGCTTGTTCAGTGGGTGGCGGTGATGATGATGGTGGTGGTGGTGGTGGTGGTGATGGTGGTGGTGGTGATGGTGGTGGCGGCAGTGTTTGTGGTTGTTGCTGCGAGTGCCGTAACGAGAGCGGTGACGATGTGCTGTTGGCTGGGAGAAGGGGGTGGGGAGGAACTTTAAACTTGTGTGGTACGGAGCCGTGTCGTATGGGAGAAAATGAGTCGCTTCCCATAATAACGGCACTGCTCCGACAAATAAAATGATAAATGTCCAAGCAATATATTCACGGCGCATTGGTATTCGGCTGGCGTTGCGAGAAGTTTCCGAGATGCGTGGGAGTAATTATTGAGGGTTGGTTCATTGGAGACGACACATTGTTTGCGACACTCCCGATAGCAACGATGCTGCTATATTTGGCTTGTTGACATTGAATATTATTGTCAGCGCCATCAGTATGTTGGACACATAATTTCGGACATTTTGAAATTTACTTTGTACAGCCAAATATCAATTAGATCTATTAGCTCTATTAGAATTCACATATAAATACTAATAATCAAACTTTGTTAATTAGATGAAGGAGTAACTAAATAAAAGAGGAGAAGATGTATAATTTTTTAAATCTTTACTCGATATTTCGAAATATTAATATTATTTAAAATACTAAATATGCTGAATATATTGTAAATTATAATTTTTACTGTAAATTATAATTTTTAACATCTAATTCTTTAATGGAATTATGTATATTTTTTATATTTTAACTCATTGACATTATTTCTTTCTAAAATATTCTTTCATGTAACTAATTCGTCATTTTTCCTATAGCATAAAATTTTCTATTGCAGTATTATTATTTCGATTGAAGAATTTTATAAAATATTTCTGAAAACTTGCAACAATATTACTTTGTCGATTTTTAAACGATATATTGCAATGCTTCTACAAATATTTATAAAAATATTATAAATATTTTTGAAACATGTGTAATATTCGAAAAGTATTTCAAGAAATTGTTTGTGTTCGAATTATATAATAATTCTCAGACGACACGAAAAATATCTTTACGTGACATTAAACATTATATAAAAATTTAAACAGATTCTATATTATTTTATTATGCGGTATAAATATCACTTTATTTTACAATTTAATAATTTTTAATAATTTTGATTAGAATTAATTAATATTAGATATTAATTTAATATTATTAATTTAATTAAATACTTTTTATAATTCGATTTATAAATTATAAAAAAATTAAAATTTATTAATTGATATCGTACATAATTTATTAATTTAATTAGAGGATATGTTATCAAAAAATAATAAAATAAAAAATATGTTTGCAATATTATATGTGATTGAATTATAATATTGCAATAATCTTTTATGCAACATATATAAAATATTAAAATTATAATATTTCTACATTATAAGATAATTTATCTTATTTTCAGATATGAGAGATAAAATCGAGATATTTGAAGAAGCAAACTATCTAATCTTCATACAATTATCTTATAATATTTGTCATATTATTATACGTCGTATTATTGAACATATACGTCGCATTATTGAAGTAATCTATTTTCTATTTTTTTAGCAATGTTTTGTGCTATAAATGATCATAAATGATCTTTTAATAATCTATTTAATAAAACGGAAAAAGACGCAATGAAGAAATAAAAAAAAATAGAAAAACATCCATTTTTCAAAATTTCTCGTCCTTTGTAAATGCGGAGACTGTATAATCCGCGAAATCATCAAATTTTAATCTGTCTGAGATTTTTAATGAATCTTGTTCTCTGAGTCATATATTGAAAAACAAAATAAGTAATACATAGTATATAGTTACAGTACATAGTATAAAGTTCGAGAGCTCTTCTAACAATTAGTGATGTTTGGAGTTTTATAGAGGTTAATGTCTTAAAATTCTTTATAAATATAATTTATTTTCTTTGTTTTCGAAATAAGTTTAGAGAGAATGAAACAAAAAGAGAAATGCGATATGATAAAATTTGAGTACTATTATATTTATTTTTCTCTAGACATTTTGCAATTGAATTTTAATTTGTTTTAAATGTTAATTAGTTCAGCTAATTATTAGCATATTTTAATTATTCATAAGTTACAAATGCACAAGTAAAATTATATAAAATGTTTGATATAATGTTTTGATGTGATGCAAAACATCTGTAATTATAAAAAAAATAAGAAAATAAGTATAAATTAATGTTATGAAATAAAAAAAATCGTGAATTTATGTTTATTAAATTTATGCATAATTTAATTTATTAATATTAATGTTTAAATATTTATATTTATTATTATTAATTATTATTTTGTTTTTTTATATAATAAATTAATATAATAAAACTTCTTTTAAATATAATAAAACTTCTGATGAGACAAATCATGATTTCATCAATGCCAACATCAAAATGATTATTCATTGATTTCAGAATGATTGATTCTATTAGCATGATGATTTATACATTAAAAGCTTAATAATTTTTATAGTATGTGAAATTATATTTCATTTATGCATAATTTAATTTATTAATATTAATGTACGTTTAGAAAAGAAAGAACATAAATTTATCTTATCTTCATACACGCGAGAGATAAAATCGAGAATATCTGAAAAAGCAAACCATCTAATCTAATCTTCATACAATGATCTTTTATTAAAATACATATTATAAAATTCACATCATCTATTTATGAAAATGCTTGAACTTAATGGAACTAGTGTAAGATTTTCTTATCTATATCTCAAATTTACATCCAATATAAAGATACCGATATTATTTTATTAAGTTATACTTGTATTATGAAAAAAATGTTTTTTTTTCCTCTTTTTATAGGCTGGCATCATCGTTGTGCCATCACATTAGCACTTTGCTGGGTCTGCGATGGGAATTGCGAGGAAGGGAACACCTAGAGAAGAATAGGGCTTGTATAATCGTAGCGAATCATCAGAGTTCACTGGATATATTAGGAATGTTTGATATTTGGCCGGTGATGGACAAGTGCACCGCTGTCGCCAAGAAGGAAATTTTCTATGCATGGCCGGTCGGTTTGGCTGCATGGTTGTGCGGTCTGATTTTCATCGATAGAATGAACTCCGAGAAAGCACGAGCTGCACTCAACGAGGCTACGAAAGAAATTAGGGATAAAAAGGTAAAAGAGAATTGCGCGTGAATCACGCTTGCCATCTGTTTGTCGCTGTGTACTTTTCATCGTTTCAACATTTTGCAGATCAAATTGTGGATATTCCCCGAGGGCACTAGGCACAATACCGGTGAGATACATCCATTCAAAAAAGGTGCCTTTCACGTCGCAATCAGATCACAGTTACCTATATTACCGGTCGTATTCTCCTCATATTATTTCTTATCCGCGGAAGAAAAGAGATTTGATTCCGGTGAGTAACCATAGGGCTGCGAAATAAAAAAAATCTCAGAAAATATTAATTTAAAAAAATCCTTAGAAATCTTAAATTCGAAAGTAAAGTTTAATATTAAAGACGTAGGCTGGCAATAACTTTGTTTTTGCTTAATTTCACATTCCGAATGTTTAATGAGTTAAAGCCTGTTTTTGCATTTTCCAATTGTATTCCACCTGAAAGGTCATATAAAAAAATTGCAATCTAGCGATAATTTATAGGAATGATAATTTTGTCATTTAATACTCATTTCTATGTAGACTAACATTAATCTCTAAGTTTAGACTAAGTTTAATTTTTCTGTTTTTAACTTCAAGGTTTAAGAAAAGATAAAAAATAAACTCAATATATATCGAAATATATATAGTATAATTAACCTGATTAGTAGGAATGGACATACAACAATTTGAAATCTGATTTCTTTTATTATTCAGAAATTACTTAATAAATTATCAGAAATAGTTTAAAATCGACTTAATTAAAGGACGCATTCTCGTGACGACATTGCCGCCCATCTCGACTGAAGGACTCAGCACAAACGATGTAGAAGAATTGATGGAAAAAACACGAAGTGCCATGACTGAGGTATTTCACTCAACGAGTCACGAGATCCAGCTGTCTCTTACTGTCCGGTAAGACGAATGATATTTCGAATGATCATTATTGGGCTGTAACGAACGAATTCGTCTTAAAAATGGACGAATAAGCTTATTCCTTTACAAGAACATTAACGAATAAGTCCACGCGGGAACCAAAGACTAAGCGTCCAGTTAACTAACGTTCTCTTATTATGATATTTCCTAATATTCTAATTTATATTTTGATGTCTCTCCAGCTCAAAGTGAACGTAGATTTTGTATGTTACACTGGATTCTTCTCGTTTTTTAATTTATTTATTTATGATTGCGTAGGTAGCGGAAGAATTTAGACGATGTTTCTTTGATATTTCTTCGATGCGTGACCAAGTGGCCGAGTAATCTTTATTATCGGTATACAAGTACATCATCATTTTCATAAAAATCATTTATGGCTAATTTAATTGTTGCATAAAAGTCGCTTCTTAATTTAATTTAAAACTATAAATTTTAAAATGAAAAAAAAATACATATATTAATACATGGTAAAATAAGAATATAATCAGACAAAAGAGGCATACACAGTACTGAAAAATTAGAATTTTTTAAGCAGTTATATGCATTCTTAATTAATTATACATAATTTGGAGAAATGATACAGTGTACGATATATCCTATACTGTGGACGCGAAAAGAGTGAGAGAAAAGAAAGAGAACTTTTGACACGCCATGATTTTTCGTAGAGTTACAGATTGTAAATATGATTCATTAGAAGGCATTTTATAAATTGTGGAAATATTGTTAATGTTTATACTTAACGGACTACTTGTACTAAATTACATTAGATATATTTTGCTATAAGACATGCTTGTACATTCTCACTCGTCTGTTTTTATGCTTCCACTTGTTTCCATATGGTTATCTAAAAATATTAAGGTATATATAATTGTAACTTGGAAAAGTGCACTTTAATTTTAAATATTTAAAAGAGAGAAGAAGTTTCAACGTTTTTCTGTTTTTCGGGTAATTTTCTGAATCATGTTTATGTATATTTCCTCGTGAAATTTAATTGTTTCGGTTGACTCGCGCTATTGTAAATCAAGATAACTGTTTATAATCGAAATAACGAGAGAAATAATATTATATTTTAATCGAAAGATAACATATTAAATTTGAAGCATATTGTAATCACATTGTGCTGCGGTGTACATACATTTTCACTTACAATTAATTATGACTACGATATCGCGAAAAAATAGTTATGATCGGTGTATGATAAATATTAAACTTATCCTTGGGCATTTCTTAGATAATTCTAATTTTTCTGTTGCACTATTGCATAGTCTCTCTCTCTCTCTGTATATTCGTAACATGGACGAAATGCTTAAGGCAATGTTTTTTTCTATGTAATTCTCCATGTTGCAATTGTGTTCAGTTTAGCGTAATTAATATGATGATGCTTTTCTGCTGATAATTTTTTGCAGCTTGTAAAAAATATAAAATTAGCACATAATAGCTGACAAACAAAACGATTTAATTGTTGGCAATGAAGCGTTAAAAAACTATTTATATTTTTCTTCCAACATAATTTCTAAGATTGTATATTTTCTGGCACATGTCCTGTTTGATATTGTACAAAAAAAAAAGAATATGAGAAAAGAATGTTTGTTGTAGAATCATAAATACTCGCTCACAGTTGGAAAGTCTAGCAATATAAATATTACGTATCCCAGACAACCTGTCGAGAATAGATTTTGCAAAGTGCACATAATCTATCACAAATTGCATGCTTTTATTTTCCGATAGGAACGTTACAGATTTAATAAATTTTCACATGTACAACAATACTGACGGAAAACAAAGTTTATTAAAATGTGCTAAATAACGGAAAAAGATTGACATATTTGAATAGTTTGACACATTTGGATAGTTTGACACAGATTGGCGGCAAAAATAGATTAAAATTTGCGTTTAATAAATTCTGTTCTGCTGTCGATCAGAATATATCAGAATATATCAACGAATTCTGTTATCAAAGTAGAGAACAGAAATGATACTGGATCTCATATTCGAAGCAAATCTGCTATCAATCTGTTGGCATATTACGGACACTTTACTTACTGGGACATAACAATCAAAATATGATCGTTCAATTATTTGCGCGACTTCCGTATTGTGATATCGCTTATGTTCTACATCAAATATTTTCTTGTAACGACCACACGATAGCCGTAACACTTGATGCTAGAAACGTTTTAATTTAGTCGTTAAAGAGAATAGTTTCAATCATTGATTTTCAGCTTCCTGTAATTTTTAAATAAATATATTCAAGTGGAGAATTTTTTACTTAAGTATATTATAAGCAAATACAAATGGTTATTTAAGATTTCGGTTATTTGTCGGTCCAGTGTTGTACAACGTAATTAATTTAAACCATGTAAACCGATTTCAAAGCATCATGAATGATTTATGTATAAAAATGCGTTAAATAAGTTACATTTTGAAAATTATGTCGTATAATGTCTAATTATGTATTGGTCTATCCGAAAAACTAATTTTACTTCTTAAATTTTTCGACTTTTCATGCTACATGTTTATATATTCGTATTCGATTTGGATAGCTGATTATTTTCAGTGTTAATAAATATCTAACGCGAAGTAGGTCTCTCAAAGGTCAGTTTATATTATTTTAAGGATAAACAGTTGTAACTACATGTATGCTTTAAAATGTTATTTTTACACTGCGTAAGACTCCGCCTCTATCGTTTTGCGAATGTACATATTATTGTATACTATATTATTGTCATGACGTCCATGATCAAAATGAATCGAGACACATATAGTTATTACGAAATATGTAATCTTGTTTATCGAATATTTCTGTCAAGACATTTCGAAGCCTTCGCGACTGAATCTGATGAAGGAACGTAGCTTATAAAAAAATGTTATTTGAAATTTCTAAATCTCACGTTACTCGATCATGATATAAGTAATCAAGTGATCATTCAAAATACTGTCAGATGAACCGATCGCATTAGTATTATCTTCCTGATATAAATAAAAAAAAACGCACAATTTTCAATCGAGCACGTTAATAGACCTATTTTTTTTAGCTGAACATTTTGCGTCTAACGTGAAGAGAAAAGGAAGAAAAATGAATATTGCAAAAAGTTCAGTCGAAAAGAACAGGTCTTGCGCTGCATTTAATGTACGATTTTTAGCGTAATCGAATAATATTTCGTGCGTAAATAATTAGAAAATTTGGAGTAAAATTTTTGCCATCTAGAAATCTAAAGGATAATTCTCTTTTTTTTCGTATTTATAAATATTCTCAATGTCTATCCTTCTTCTCGAGAATAGTATAAGTTTCATTATTGATTTACCGGCACGTGTTATTTAATTAACAATCGATCGCAGATAAAGAATATGTAATTCATCGCGCCGAAGTCATGTATAAATATCATTTAATACTATATTTAACAGGATTATCCATCGATTTATCATCTCAGTGCCAATTTGTAAAACAACAGAATGTTATACGATAATTCACATAAGCAATGCATCATTCCGTGTTTACTTTAATAGACGCATAACGACAAATGAGTTTTTTTTCAACCGTATATTGTTTACGAGAGAACGTTACGTACGCTAGTGTAGCTTATTATTCCAAAGAGTTTTGTACTTGGGCTGTGCATTTGTCATGATGTAATATAAATCAATTGACCATGGTATTCGATTGAACTTAACGAATGTTAAACGACATTACAAACAGGATTCAACGAACTGTTGTATCTATGTCATACAAATATCTTATTTGTCTGCGACGAGATCTATAGCTGATCAAAGTTATCGAAAATGTTTTATATATTAAATCGATTAATAAATAATATAATGTAAATTAAGGGATGGTTTGCAAAACGCAAAAGCAGATAATAAAAATTCTGATTTTAGTTAATTTGGGCTTATTGTTTTATTGATTTCTCCAATGACAAATACAACAAATTTTTAATTCATTAAAATCGCAAATCTTGCAATATACATATAGTTTTTTTCTAATAGTTACGTGTCAATGATGTAACTATTTCTAAACCTAAAAACAATATTTGAAAATCTGCAGTGATAAATAACCCAAAAGAAAATCAAAAACTAAAATTTTTTATTAGATAAAATTAGATACATTTAAAATATAATTAGATAAAATTAAAATTAATTTGTATTAACATATTTATGAATTACATGTTTATAGATTAAAAATATTTTAATATTCCTTATTTTAATTTCAATTAAATCAGAACATAACTTTTTATTATCTATTTAAGCAAACTTGTAGTTATGTTATTTAACTTTCTTAATAAAAAAAGAAATAAATATATATACTTTTCTATGTCCTTGATTTTTAAGTGTTACTCTGTTATTTATATTGTACTTAATGTATCAAAACAGAAACACGCAAAATGTATTTAGATTAAATCTAGAGAGATGCCAAAATTACAAGTCCAAAGTTCCGCCATTTCTTTGCTTTTCTTGACTTTCAGTCCACACTTTTGCTATCGTTTTCTTCATTTCGTCATCGCCATCCTGATACATTTTCTTCATAAGATTCATCAGGCTAGCACCAGGATCGCTGTCTTCACCCATCTCAGGCATAGATGGCGATTTCGCATCCTTGATTCTCTTCTCCACCAATGTGACATGTGACCAATCCTTGGCAACCCGTTTTACGAGCGAAATAACAATCATGTTGGTTTTTACCTTAAAATTACTTTTGTCGACATCAATCTCTGCACATAGATTGTTAATCGGCAAATGATAATTTTTATTTTCCAACCCGAATACCCATATATCCAGAGACCTTTCTGTAAAGTTACAGACAATGGCTTCTTTGGGCAACTGGTGAACATTCATCAATGTTACATAAATTTTCGTCGTTGTGCTCGTCTGATCCCAGCCATAGCTATTCAATTTCACCTCATAACATTTTTGGGTAGAATTTGAAGGACTGGTCGGTTTGATGGGTATATCATTTTGTTCTAATAATTTTGCCATTTCTGTTTGTAATTTCCTGATCTCCAACATTAATATATCCTTGATTCGTTGTCTCTTAGCCTGCTCAAGTAAACTATTGAGTTCCTCAATATCCAATTTCATCTATAAAAAGAAGCATTGGTACACAAAATTGCTCTATAAAATATTTTATCTAGCAAATACATTTGATTAGATGATTAAATAAATCTTTAAAGATTTTCAAAGGCTATTTCTTCTTTCAACTCATCAAAATATAACAGTGAATGTCTAAAAAAATTTATCTATTATCTATATGTAAATATTGACATAAATTATTCCAAATAATTTCAATAATTTTCCATGGTTTGTTTTCTGCCTCTTTATTCTCTTCAAATATGAGTATAAATCAATCTAATTTTACACATGCTGAAAGTGCAGAAAAGTGTAGCTGAAAACTAACAATACAATAATTAATACTCACCTCATCGGCTTTTGTTGCCATTGTTGACTTCGGATTAATTTTGTAAGTTTTACACAATATCACAAAGTTTTATACGTATCGGGATGCAACGGATGCTGTCCGGACTAACGTACTGAGATCACTTGTCAACAGGACGCAAGAGGCCGTGAAAGTGACCAATTTCTCGAATATTCCAGAATTTTCTGTTTCAGGGTTATAGCAAAGAAGAAATATACATATACAATATCAAGATGTAGCGCATGCGTAAAGGGAAACACAAAGAAGAACAGGGAAGAAGTAGCTATTGTAACCATGGTTGCCATCTTTAGTCCCGGTCTACAATAGATGATTTAAGCCTTGAGCCATAAGAAATTGACCAATCATAGTCGATTATTCTCCTATTTTTCGATTATGATTCGTCCATTTCTTAGGGGGCTTAAGGCTTAAATCCTATTGTAGACCGGGACTAATCAGAAATGATGACTGCGTTTAGCAGAAAAAGCTTGCAATTGTTGTAAAATCTTTTAATATTGCTTTATACAGAGCTTTATATATTGCTAGATTCATGAGAAACTAATGGCAGAAACCAATCATATCAAAGATATTTATAATAATTGCAAAGCTGCTTTCTCTGCTGAACGCAGCCGATGAAACCGGCTCATATTCAACATATTTTTGAAACCATTGTTATCGTATTGCTTTTTCTTAAAAAAAAAAAATCAAAAGATAATCTTTTTTTGCCGGAAATTGCCAATATTGAAAATCTATAATTCACGTTACGTCTTTGTTACATATACAGTCACAGACGATAGATCTGTTCTTTTTAACTGTTCTTTTAACTTGCACAGTTCATTTTTTTTCTTTTCCTTTCCAATATAAAGAAAGACGAAAGAAAAATGAATTGTGCAAAAATTTTAACTGAAAAGAACAATGGATCCAAAAGCACAAACACTTACTGCGTGCTTAGTGAGCTTTTGCATCTGATTGACATTTTTTTAGATATAAAAGAATATATCAATTGGATATAAAAATTTATTAAACGTTCGTACTTTTTTAAGTACGTTCGTACTAAAAGGACGATTGTACTTTTGGATGCACTCGTTGAATTTTACTTGCTAATATTAAACAAAAATGATTTACTGTGTTTAATTGTATTATGTCTCTTGCTAGGAAGCATCAACATATTCTTCTGTGTATTTTTCTTTAAAAAAAAAAATTATCAAAATTTTGAATGGTTAGCCAGAAATTTTTTTATTTGTCAAAAAATAGAAATTCAAAGTCTCCGATCACTTCTGAAAAATTGATGAGATAAATTGTAATCGTAATATTGAGCTATAGCCGAGCGACATGAAAGTAGACATATAACTGAGGTACCAAGATGGCCACGATTTTTCTTTCCTTTAGAATTTTAGATTGAGCTTCAGATTGAGCTCTTCGCGTTTATAAGGGTCCTTTCATTAGATATATTTAGATCTATTTTTCTAGATCTATTTTTTTTATAGCTACATTATATTTTCTATTTAAAATAACTAGTAATTCAGTTTAGCTACTTTACCTCCATTATTTTAATAATCTTCACTCTTCATTTTGCACAAAAACATGTCGAATGAGCATAAGTTCAATATGGAGGTGAGATAGCTGAACTGAATAATTCAAATAAGCATATAATTTAGATGTTAGAAAGAAAAAGAATAATGACAAACATAAAATTTAGCTTTAAAAAACAAATTATTAAAAGATAAAATGTTGTGATAAAGTGATTAATTGAAGTGATTAGTTGAATATCTTGGTCTTACATTCAGTATATATCGAATTAGATATTAAATTAGAATTAAAAGAGAAATAACTTATTTAACCATTATACTATACTATTGGAAATTAATCTTAGATTTCAATTTTTTTAAATTGATTAAACTCCATGTTGTTAACGGTTTATTTTTTTACACTCGAATGTATGTTATTTATAATACAAAATTCCGGATCCGGCGCTTTTAGGAACAAGCGTTCCTGCGAAGGCTTCAATCGTTATCAAACGATCGCTTTTATATTATTACAGGCCACTAAAATGTCAATTATGCTAATTAATCGACGATTATTGTAAAACGGCAGCATTCGCAGCTATACTGGGATTGTTGATGACTTCTCCCAGACTCTCAAGCAATTCTTTCCTGTAATCGTCGAAATCGCCGTCGATAGCGTTAATTTGCTGATTCTCAATCACATAGAGACAGCATTCCGTGTCTCGAATTAACCGTTCGTCGTGCGAGACGATAATAACGCCGCCCTTATACTCGTTGATAGCGTCAGCCAATGCATCAATAGACTCTATATCAAGATTATTGGTCGGCTCATCTAGAATCAACACATCCGGTGCGTTTAAACAAAGCTCAGCCAAGGCAACACGTGCCTTTTGACCACCCGACAAATCCTTCATTTTAATAGTGTGCGCATGAGAGCTAAGGCCAAAAGTACCCAGCTGTTTGCGTGCTTTTTCATATGGAAGATCAAATAGTCGCATCAGATATTCTGCCGGTGTCTCCTCGGCAGTTAAATGCTCACCAGAATGTTGGTCAAACCTTCCTATCCTCTGTAAAATGTAAATTAAAAATACATTTTGATTAAAACATATATTTTTAAAAATATATTTTAAATAATATATTTAAATAATATATTTTAAAATATATTTTAAATAATATATTTTAAAAATAATAATACAATAGCATAAACATATAACCGAGTAATAAATTGTAGCAATGCAATCTTTGGATGAAAAATTTACAAGCAAAATATTAAATGTTTTGCAGATTAAAAATTCGAGTTTCGTAGAATAAAAGTATATGTTGTTTATACAGTTCTGCACTTACCAATCGATGATTTTTTGTGATTTCTCCCTTTTGAGGTGTTATATCACCCATTAGTAATTTCAGGAAGGTAGATTTGCCAACACCATTGGGCCCCAATATTGCTACTCGAGAATTTAAGTCTATACCGAAGTCTGCATCGATGAACAATGGTTTTTGTCCTTCGTATCCGAATGTTACATCTATGTAAAAGATTAAATTAAATATACAAAAATATATTCAACTTATTATCTTTATCTTCTTAGGTTCTATATATGCGATTAATGAATAATAATAGGCATAAGAATAGCATACTTTGAAGACCAAGAATTGGAGGTTGCAAAGGCGGAGGATCTGGAAAACTGAATTTAACTATATATTCTCTCGGTTTTTGTAACAGTTCAGTGGGTCCAGTATCTTCTTCTTGTTTCTGCATTTTTGTCCGATTTTTTTCTTGTTTTCTTGTGAGTGCTTCTTTTTGTTTCTTTTCCGCTTGTTTCTTGCTTTGTCCAGCTGCTTTGAGATCCTTTAGACGCTTTTCCTGCTTCTCATATGCCTTTATCATTTCCTTTCTTTTCTGCTCATACATCTTTTTAAACATGCTATAATTTCCCTTGTAATAAAACAATTTTTGTTGATCCAGATGTATTACATCCGTACACACATTGTCTAAGAAACTCTGGTCATGTGATACAACCAGCAGAGTCTTTTTCCAGCCTTGTAAGTAATTATCCAACCAAATTACTGCATTCAAATCTAAATGATTAGTGGGTTCGTCCAATAGTAACAACGTGGGTTCCAAGAAGAGTGCTCTCGCAAGCGAAACACGCATTCGCCAACCACCGGAGAAATTTTTAGTCGCACGATTTTGCATTGCACGATTGAATCCTAAACCGGCGAGGATTCGTCTAGCTCGCGGTTCTGCTGAATCTGCTCCAATTGCTTTCAATTCATCGTATACCTGAAAATAACAAACAAATCTAATTGTGTACAATTTTTCAACAATTACAATAGTTAAAATATAGAAAAAAAACTAATAGATAAATCACAGATTATTTTTTCCCTATAACTTATTATTTTCCACAAAAAAAATTTAACAAATTTAGAAAACCTCTTGGTTACCTCTTGTAATCTATTTTGCACAGTAGTATCTCCTTGTTCTGTTAATTCTTCCAGTTTTTTGCATTCCATTTGAAGCTCTTTGCATTTTACATCTGCGTTAAGCACTACTTCCACAGCTGGAGTGTCATCCGCTATAACTTCTTGTTCACAATATAGAACATCAATCGTAGGTGGAATATTGAAGGCTCTTTTTGCTATATGGCGGAGCAAAGTAGTTTTGCCATGACTGAAATAAAAAAAATATCAAGTGTGATATACTTTTCATAGAAGATAATCATTGTTTTCTACAAAATGGTGTATAATTTTTTTATAACATATAAATTTGTCATAATATAATAATCTATTTATAAAATATTTAATTTAAAACTTACATATTACATTTTGCACATAAGCAAATTACATTGGATTTCTCAAATTTATTAGTCAAATATTTTAACACATATAAATATTTACTACACATATAAATACTTTAGTAAAAACATATATTTTTAGAAAATTTTTTTTAAGAAAGATTAGGACTATCGGAAAATACAATTATAAAATCAAAGTTCAACCTTCTGTTGTATTATAAATATTATATAAACCATGAACATTGTGAAATACAAATATTTGAATGAGAAGAAATTCTCAAGTTTCATAAATCTTTAAATAATTCCTATTTCTAATGCATTTTATAGCAGCAATTGAGATTGTCAAGATATGTCAAGATAAAGCATACCCGTTGGGTCCCACGAGTCCATATCGCCTACCCTGTGCTATGAGCAAACTGGCGTTAGTAAAGAGCTCCTTGCCTTTGGCAGCTATGCTAAAATTTTCCACCTTGATGTCGACCGCGTTGTCCAACTGCTGGTTACCACGTTGTTGCGTCTGACTCTGAGAAACTGTAAAATTGGATTCCAATTCGCTGTGACCTTGTCCGCCCGCCTTTGTCAGAATCTCCATCGTTCGTTCATACTCTTGCTGTTTTTTCAGCTTCTTCTTTTCCTTGTGTGTGAGCTTCTTACTAGGTGTCTCCTCGTTGATTTCCACGTCCGCGATTTTCTCCGTGATCTTCTCCGCGACATCGTCGGCTGCTCCATTCTCGATCGCATTGTTACTTTTGTTTTTGCCTCTAGTTTTGCCCGACATCGCTCCCGATCGTCCGCCTCTCTTCTGTACTTCTTATCTCTCCTGGTTTCCACCACGGCCTATATCCTTGCCAGCTGGTTGTACACCTTAACCTAACCTAACCTCACTTTTTCCGCGTGCGCAGCACGTCCATCGGCAGCAACGTCAGGCAGGGGGAGAGGGAGAAACGGCTCTAGCTAGGCTCCACCGCTCTATTTGACACGTGACATCGCGTATGGACAGGGAAACGCGGCACCACCACAATTTTCAATGTTGCCAACCTTTTCCGCCGGTCAGTGGCCAAGTCTATTTTTGAACGCCCTGAACGATGTGACGGGGCGCGATCAGACGCGATGTAAGGTGCACAGTTGACTCTGGAAATTGTTATTTATACATTTTTGATGACAATAATGTTGATAGACGATAGCAGTATTCTATGGCCGGGCGTCACCGGCTCGTCATGGGGATCTGAAGACTCCCGGAGATGATGCGAGCGAGACCTTTGTCTTCGACTCTCGTCGAATTGCAGCAGATGGATTGTCGCATTTTGTTGTTTTCTTGGTGTTTGAGACGTTCGAATTGAAATCGCGATCACCAAGTGAGTTACAAGTCAAACAATGTCTTTTCTGTAAAGCATGTCTCCAAAATAGATTCGATGGTCGTTGTCATATTTTTGTTTCGGCAAGGATTACTATTTCTTTGCCTAGACAAATTTGTTTTATATTTTACTCTGTTGGTTCTGTGCATCTTTCATCATGACAATAAATTTGTACCTGTCCTTATTATCCTCATACTTTGTCATAGTTTTGTATCACGATGAAATTTTATAATGTAATAGTCTAAGTCTTAAAGTTTGTATCAAGAAGGTTCCAAGAATTCTCCTATGTCCTTATCGAAAGAGAATTGAGCAATTTCCTAAATCTGCCAGAAATTTGGAGATTTGTTTTTGAAAATCAAAAGCAATCCATCTGTCTGGGTCGTCGAATTGTTCAGATTTTATAAATTATGGAAAATGCTAGCAAAGACACAAATTAGTAACATTATGTAATAGTAACATTACATCAGTATTATTAATTTTCCACTCAACAATATGAATGTAATATGACACATGTATATAACAATGATATTGCTGAATAGGAAATTATAACATTAATGTAATATCATTGTTACTTTTTGTTTATTAAGAATGAAACAATTTATTAGCTAGATTATAAAGATTAAAGATTAAAGAAATTTAATAAACTGAAATATAGTAGAAAATGGATTATGTCTCTTGCATGAATTTAAAATGATAGATTCTGCTTAATTTCTGGAATATGAGTTTAATACAGACTCAGTTAATATCTCTGAATATTTACTGCAATGTTTTATTCGAATCTGCTTGCAAAAACTGTTAGCATATTGCTAATATGTTTACATGGAACACTTTATTTTATATTTTGTTAATATTTTAGTTAATGCTGTATGTAATATTATTTGTCTTTATAAGATTATAATAATAAATATAGAATAAAAATAAAAAGTAAATATAGAATAAAAATAAAGACAATTACAGCTAAACATGTAATAAAAATTTACTTCCACTTTTTAAGTTAATAATTTATTCTTTTTTTCCTTCCTTAATTATTGTTGAGTTTCATAGATATTTATTAATGTAGAAATGTAGAATGTATTAGAACTTAATTTGCCATTTATTTTAAATGTTTAACAATGGAGATAAATAATATAACAGATATGCAATATTAATTGTAAAACTAGATTCCATAGCTTTGCTCATGATTACAGAGTGCTGAGCATGGCGCAGGAAGACGCGAATAAGTTAACAAGAGAAGATTTTGATGCTGGCCCATGCAGTTTTGATGAGATCGAGCCAGGTTTGTTCCTGGGTAACCTTACAGCCGCTACAGATGTTGACTGGCTGAAGGAAGCTGGAATAACTCATATACTAACAATAGACTCCTGTCCGTTGCCAAGAAAGATCCAGGAACGTCTTCCGAATTTAATCATAAAGTATATTCAAGTGACGGATATACCGCGAGAAGATCTGCTAACGCACTTTGAAGACTCCTACGAGTTCATCGACCGTGCCCTCGACTCTGATGGCAAGGTGTTGGTGCATTGTTACTTCGGTGTGTCACGATCCGCTACCATGGTGATCGCATACACTATGAAGAAGCACGAGCTGAGTTTCTCGGATGCGCTTCAGGCGGTAAAATCGAAGCGCCGTTTCGTTTCGCCGAATCCCGGATTTATGGCGCAATTACAGCTCTATGAGGACATGGGTTATGGTGTTGACAGTACGAATGTACAATTTAAGATGTATCGGTTGCAGATCGCCGCCGACAAGGTACGAAAGGCTCGTATTCTTCCCCAAAGCTGCGTCGACTTGGTGAAGCCAGATCCCGCGTTGACCACTGTGCGTCCCGAGCCGTCGGTTTATCGTTGTAAAAAATGTCGTCGCATCGTAGCAAGCGCCAGCAACATTTTACCTCACGCACCGCGCGAGAAGCAGATCTGGCGGCATATCAGCGTTAAAAGCGCACCGAAGGACGGCGAGAACTGTGATAAATTGATCCCGAGGAGAGAGGAGCCGACGCGAGTCGAACTTTGCGACAAGATCTACTTTGTAGAACCATTAGCCTGGATGCCCGATATTACGCACAACGTCGAGGGAAAGTTGAATTGCCCTAAATGTAATACGAAACTTGGTTCATACAGCTGGATCGCTGGCAGCCAATGTCCCTGCGGCAGTAAGATTGCACCAGCTTTTTATCTGGTACCGTCCAAGCTCGACTGGAGCAACGTTGTGCAAAACGTTCAAGTAACGGTATAGTACTGAGATGAAATAAGAAGTATACTGGAAACTAAAGCAATCGACCTTGGAAATTTAGGATAAGAATCTTAAATTTTATATTTGATGAAATTTTCTCTTTATAAAAAAGAGAAAATGAGAAGTTCTTAATATTCCAAGGCAATACAAATCATTAAAGAATGTTGTGAAGATATTTGAAAAGCGTCAAATACTTTTTAGACGTTATAACATTTGGATGCCTTGTAGGATGCCCTTCCGATGTTTTTGAATGTTTGTCTTGTTAAATTATGATGTTATTATGGTCCAAGATGGTTGATGTAGACATTGATAATATTTAATCCTCAGCAGGTAATATAAATCTTCTCGAGCTTTTAAATTTCATTCCACGTAAAATATCGTCCAAATTAAACATTCATCAAAAGCGTAAATTTAATCATATCATTTTATAAATGTAAAGGTTTACATTATGTATACGTTACACCTTTACACCAACATTTTTATACTACGAAATCTAAAAAAAATCTACATAATACTTGCTGGGGGTTGAAGATGACGCATTTCAAGAGTGAGATAAAATACGGATCAATATGTACACCGGTTGACTATATTCTAATCCTGTGCCAATATATATTTCGATATGTGTACATATATACATGTATTTGTTACATATATCTGTTGTACTTTTCTTATTGTGTATATAATCAATGAAAAAACATACCGCTCTCCGGTCTCAATGTTTTTATTGCACGACGTTGTCTTTACCTATATCGTTTACATATATCTGTGTAACTACAAATAGAATGCCATTTTCTCTGTATATTCTGTACTTAAAATATTGCGATGTTCTAATATACTTCCTCATATAACTTAATGTATTATTCTTATCGACGGGAAAAAGAAGCGCTATGACTTATTTATTTGTTACCCTGTACGTTCAGAACTTAAATCTAATCTAATCAGTTAATCATTGGTTATAAGGCACACGACATTTACAATGATAATCCGTAGAATATCGAATTATCCTTTTGCACATAGTCCCAGAGATGCCCAATGCTTTACCAGATCGGCTGCGATCTCAAATTTAATCTCAACAGTCAAGCTTATCTTTGGTTTCGAATATTTAAGCGAAGTTTATAGTCACTCATAAAAATTCCGTTGATTAATTTTTTACATGTTTACGTCACATCACATTTCCAAAATAATATTGGAACAATTTGAATGATCTATTCTCCGCGAGAAAATATTAATAAATCGTAATAAAAAAATTCCAGTCTTCGAAGTACAAATTTATAAATGGAGAATCAGTTGACGAGATAGAAGATGATAGTGGAGAACTCAGAGACAAAAAAAACAATTTTGCCATAATGTCAAGCCTTACAATTCTAAAGAAGAGAACTCTTTGCGTTTCTTTTCTCCTTTGGATGGAAAATATCTCTCTCTGATTTAAGAGTAAGTCCGATCTCGTTTCTTAGAAGTCTGAATCCCTTTGATCTAAATTAGATTTTCACAGATCTAAAATCTAGAGTATTATATTCGTCGCATTTGGAAAATCTGATTTTTAGGGACATTGTCACATACTCGCGTGCATCGCTGGATACGTCGAGCCGTAGGGATGCGCTCGCAGTCTCAGGGCGCTCAGGCCGTTCACGGCGGTTCCGTCGAGGGTGCCGTGATGGATGTCAGCTTGATGATGATGATATGACGGCAGACCCACGTTCGTCAGGCCGCCGTTCGCGGCGAAACCGTGACAACCGGCAGTCGCGGTTTGCACTGCGTAATGCTGCGGCGTCGTTCGCCAATAATCACCGTAAGAATATTGCGCCGTCACCTGGGTGGTAGCAGCTGCGCCCTGCGACGATTCCGCGTTGCTTTCCGCCGGATGCTGCGGGGGATGTGACACTCGGATGGGACGTAGCGGTAGCGCGGCTTCCATTTCCCTGCCTGTGGAGACACCCCGGTTCATCGCCGAGCTCCGTTCGTTCCGCCTGAACTTTGCCCGTCTGTTCTGGAACCACACCTATGCAGGAAAGAAAAACAGGATACCTTTGCTGACGATTCTCTTGTTATCGATTCCTAAGAATGGAATCTTCTAGGATTGAAATGAGAAGTGATAAAAGAAACTTTCTATATGCGAATAAGATAATAGATGGTAAAAGAAGAAAATAGGGTAACTGCTATTTCTAAATGTAAACCTCGAGTATTCTTGGCGTAGATGAACATAAAAATTTGATATTAAAGTCACAGTTAAAATTCTCAACAATGCAATTTTATTTTTATTAAAAATTAATATTCGCAGTGGCAGTAAAAAATAACTTTTTAAATAAATTACAAAAAAATTGAGCGCAAAAGTTTTGCATGCATTATATAATTATCGCTGAAAAAACGCGCGTTACTGCAGCTAAATAAATTCGCAACAAATAGATTCAAACGACTCAAAGGATACTTAACGCTATTCAAAGTCGTGTACATGTGTCTCAGCATTTCTTTGGGACGGTAGTTTACTTATTTGCAGATCTTCTTAATTCTAGTCGTAACGTATATGTATATTTATTAATTTAGCTTCGCTGATGAGCGCGCCATTGAATTTCTTCCGCGCTCTCAAAAGAGCACGCCTATCTCTGGGATGAATTCCGCGAATTGAAATCTAGAATATAACTCAAATAAATCCGACTCAAAGGACCACGCCGCCTTTTAGGAACATCTTCGACGAAAATCTAACGGACACGACGTGTCCAACTATTACAACTGCTCCTCGTCCGACATCGCTCGAAGAAGATCAAATAAATTCGATTTGACGAACGCGTTCTCCATCTCGGAGTCGCCTCGTCTAACGAAAAATCTTCGGCGAAATACTTGACTTATATCCTCTCGCGTTGATTTTATTGACGCTTCTCGTCTCACGTTACTCCAAAAATCTCGCGTCTTCGCAGAGAGGAGATACGGCGACGGGGGCAGGGGACGGAAGGACGCGGCGCGCCGGCCGAAGACGGGACAGCGTGACGGCTTCTGGCAGGCGTACCGACGACGCAGACAGACGCACGTACGCGGCATGGACCGCTGACGGCGACGGCGACGGCGACGGCGACGGCGACGGCGACGGCGACAGCGACGCAAACACGTGCTCGACGCACGACGCCGGAGCGCACAGATGCTGGAGCGCGCGTCGCCGTCCGGCTAATCATAGCTCTCTCTCTCTGCCCTGACAACCTGTCTCCTCCGTATTTTCTGCCTAGCTGTCCGCGACCTCCACCTTCCGCCGCCTCCTCCTCCTCCTCCATCATCTTTCTTTCTTTCTTTCGTGTTACTGACGACGCGTTACGCTCGGTACAAGAGACCTAACACATGTGCGCGTCGTGATACTTTCTCGGACAGCTAGTCTTCTCGGTTACCGAGTGGAAGACAGCTTCAAAGAGCGGTCCGCTCGCTCTGTGGATCGCTCGGTTGGTTGACTAGACGGTTAGTGTGCGTCTCAAGGCGGCGGTTTATCGTTCCGCCACGTTCCATCCACGTCCTCGTGCAGAGTAGAACGAGATCCATCGGAAATGCGCTCTTGGTCTATCCCAATTTAGCCCCTTTATTTCTGTTTATTTAATTATATTATTTTTTTTAGGTATTTTAGTTAATTTATACTTTACTCGAGGCAATTAGCGATATCGCTTTCTTCTTTTCTAGTCTATTTTTAGATCTCTATTAGATCTAGTCAATGAATGGAGAAGATTATGATACATGTATTTCTTGATAATTAAAATTGTACGTCAAGAAAACAATACATTAAACATTATCTGCTAAAATAATTTGAAGAAATTATTCCCTGATTGTTTCATCACCAATCAAACAAGATTTTTAAGTAATTTACATCACAAATAGAAATCTAAAAAAATCCTCAAACAATCCGAGTTTTTGTTGTGATATATTATTACATTGTAAACTGAAAGTGTTGAAGTAAGAAGTAGATTGGAATACACAAAAGTCCGAGTTTTCTTATTAAATTTTAAATATAATTAAATATCAAAAAAAACAGAAACGAAGAGATAATTATTACCCTCCATATAAATACCTGAACCCTAAATACCTGAATAAGTTTATAGTATAAATCTGATGTTGAAAATTTATGCTAAAGTTACAAGAACAAATTTAGCAAAAAGAAAAAAAAAGAATTAATTTTACCAATCTTAATGTGTTTCTATATAAACAGATTCCATTGCATTACCTGCACTCTGGCTTCCGACAAGGATACCCTGGTCGCCAGTTCCTCACGGACGAAAGCGTCTGGATAGTGCGTCTTTTCGAAGACCCTTTCCAACGCGGCCAACTGTTGCGCCGAGAAGGTTGTTCTGCTTCTCCTGGGTCTCCTGTTCCCAGCAGCGGAGGAAGTCTCGTTACAATCTGCGAAATATAATCAATAATTACTGGTGATATCTTCCTGGCAATTTAGCGCTTGAAATAATTGGAAACTTTTTAAATTATTTTTCAAAAAAAAAAGGTTGCACATTTTTCTATTGTCCCTAAGTATTTGTACCCTTTTGGACATGTTATGTAATTTATGTTATTGAAAATGCGCTATCGAATGATCGTATATTTCGTTCACTTTTCGAGATTACTTTAGGTTTTTAATTTTTCGCTACAACTACGTTCGACGAAAAATATCGAGATCAAATTGTTATTTTTGGCATAATAAAAATATCTCTTCTCGGAACCGTCAATCTCATTTAGAGTCATATGAGTTTTCGCGCGCGCAAGAAAGTTGCTTAGCGAGAAGAATGCGAAATTATTTTTCTCGATGGTCTCTACCGCACACACCGAAACGCGCGGTCTCGAAGATGCCGCTCGCGATACCAACGGCCTGTACCGAAAAAAAAAAAAAAAAGAGGAAAAAGAAAAAGAAGAAACGCGCGGGTCGACTAACAGCCGCGGCCATTCTTTGAATGACTCCACTATACTTGGGCATTCATCAAAGCGGTATAATGCGAGCAGCATGACTGGAAATGCGCGATTTCGATGAAATCGAGTGCATGGTGAATCGCAGATTAAACTCGAAGGGACGTGACGGAATCATTCACGATTCGCGAATTACGTTCTCGTGCTAGCAATGAATTTTCCACATTCCACTTGAAATTTCATCTCAAACAAATGTGTACATGTGTTGTTTGTAACATCATACAAATTGTAATTTCATGAAATTATATAATTAATGGTAATTAAATGAGAATGAAACAGAGTGTTATCGTATTTTATACGCAATAACATAAAATTTTACTTTTATCATATTTATTCCTTACCTAAGGAGTGCGTCGGCGTGGACAGCAGGCGTGAGACCGTGAAATCCTGCGGAGCGTGCGAATTCGCGAGCTGCGGCACTATCACGCCGTTGTTCGCGCCTTGCCCCGCGTCCGTCGGCCCCAACATTTTTCCTCTCGCACTCTTCCTGCGCACTTACCCCTCACGTGGGCATGAGGATCAATATCATTGCCACCAAGTTCTCGATCTTTCCCGTAGGGTCTTCAATTTTTTTAACAAATCCTCTACCCTCCCCTTGTTTATATCAGCCGCGTTGACGTGAGCATCGTGTGTTTGTCGACTTCGCGAGATAGAAAATCTCGACTGCGAAGAAAAACGAGTTTGTAAAATCTCAATCAGCAACATAAAAAGATGTATTTTGTATTGTCTATTATTTATGTCATGTTATTCGTAATGAATTGTATTGAAAACGCAAAGTAGTACAAGCCATGACCAGACTCGCAGTTTAATTTCACGCGACATGATTATTCAGCCGAGATCTCAAAATATCAGCCAGAAACTTAATATTAGCGAGGCTCGGAATTGTAGTAGAAATTCAAAATACGAGAAGGTAATTTGAACGAGCCAATTCGCGAATGTGTATAGAGACGTGTATAAGACATGCGAAATGAATACGAAATGTGTGTCAAGATGCACACGTTTGTATTGTCCTATTTTAGATCACATTCAAGAAAAACGTTACGGTAAAGGTTTACGGTGTAAATATCGTGAAAGATGCGATCTATGATGGAATTTAAGTACAACGTCATATGAATTTTCAACGAATATATAATAATAAAATTCAAGAGGTCGAGCTTACAACACAGATTGAGTGAAGTATTATTAAGCCTACGTGTATCCAAAGAACAGTAATATTTCTTCACACGGTAACTCCAATTTTTATCTGTTTATTAATTATTCGTGACTATATTTTCTGACAAGACAAAGTGAGAAAAAAACATTTCATGTTGATCGATTTTTTACAATAAATGTATTATTCATAAATACATCTTTCGAAAAAAGAAGATTCATGTCACGAAATTTCCTTTCTCAAGTATATAATTCATATGTAAATTATATATTTATATTTTATATATATATTTTATATTATAATATACAAATAACAATGTGTATGTGTGTGTGTGTGTGTGTGTGTGTGTGTGTGTGTGTGTGTGTGTGTGTGTGTGTGTGTGTGTGTGTGTGTGTTGTGTGTGTGTGTGTGTGTGTGTGTGTGTGTGTGTGTAATTATAATTTATGTCAAATTTTTATTAATATAATTACTCAATTAAATGTAAAAATTAGTTGCACATTATAGTCTTTCTTCTTTTCTTACTTTTGTCCTTTATTTTTGACGAATCATATTTAACATTTATATTTTTTTCATGTGAGATGTCGCGTATAAAATTATAATAATTAGCAATTATGGTAATTTTATTATAATATTATTCGTGAAACGGTTTCATTGTCATACATATTCTCGCAATACGTTTAACATTAAATTAACCTACATATTCTCGCAATACGTTTAATGTTAAATTTGGTAATGCTATTTATCTCATGACCCTGATCGCAATCTTTGTATCGGACGATTAAAATTTGGAATTGGGTATCCGCATTTAGCACTAAGTGCAGTGCTAAATAGAGATGCGACGTATTAGAGAATCTAGGTCTATTCATATTTTGTACGAAGCAGAAACTTAGCAACAGGATTGATAATGAGCCAGTGCAAAGTGATTCAATTCGCTAAACTTGAAGTTCTTTTTTAGGAACTTAAGAAAATCAATCTAAATTTCTATTTTGTCTATTTAATTATGACTAATAGTTTCTTTCCCTCAAATTAAAAAAAATTGAGCTATATTATATAGTTAAATTCTTTAGTGAAAGATTCCAATAAACGATTTCATATCGATTTAACGTGCGCGATCGTTAAAGGACGATTATTTACGGCGGTGCGGAATACGAATGGTACCGGCACGTTTATGCGTAATTTGTCTCGGGAAATGTTAATTAAAGCATTTTCGAGCTCGAGCGTAACGGTGCAATTAGGGCCACGTGCCAGCGGTTGCAAAGTGTTCGCAGACTATTCGAAACTCGTTCATACTTTAACCGTATATAAATAATTCTCTCTTAGTTTATCTGTCTTGCAAAATTTGACCGGCTCATAAATATAAATGCAAATTCTGTTGACAAAGTATAATAATTTAATATTGTTTTCACTGTAAAATATGATTCTGGCAGTTTAAGCACTTTTCATAAATTTAACATAATAACGTAAGAACATATGCAATAGACCTTGAAAAAATTGTAATGGACAAATACATATAAATACATTTTTAGAATATATTTTCAATCTAATTATTACTAGTAAGTAATAAAATAAAAGTTTTATTGTATATTCGAAAAAACTTTAATTAAACAGATTTTAGAAGAGAAGA